CACACATACATACAAACATACATATATACATTTGTGTAAAATTCCTTTCCCAAAGATGGTGTTCGAACCCTCAACCTATCAGTTGCGAACCCGACAGCCTTTCGTTTTTTTAGTTTTTGTAAGAGTTTTTACGGGGCTCACAATTGCATAAGGTCATATGAGCGCCAGAAGATTAGAGGTGTTACAAGAGAGTAACAAACACAAAAAAGAAGAAGGGGAGATTAGGACGATATATGTTTGATAGGAAAGAAAGAGCAAACCACTCCAGAGCATCCGCCAACCACCCACTCCCAACAGCCTACCACTATAACACCAACAGTCTAACCACTATACCACGGCCTATTTGCTTTGCAAGTGTCGTAAAATTCTTACTAACACTTTACAAAACGTATACTTTTGCTAGATAGACTTTGTTTGTCCTATTTTTACAGGTTACTGAACCCCTGTGAAGGTAGCAATGCCAGGACCTGCGCACCACCGTTTGAGTTCAAACACATTCTCAACATGACCAAGGATCTAGAACTGTTCAAGGTATTTGTAGGCCTAAAATTATATGTGAGGCAGCGTGGTGGAATCAGGGTCTTGTGAAAATAACCAAAATGAATATACTTGCATTTTTCTGCAGGTTTGTGAATTTGTATCAATTTTTTTCTATTTGGTTCAACACCTTTCATGCCTCTCATGACGAGAGCCTGATTCAACCACGATGCCTCACATAATATGTGTGTGTGCCTGGAGAAAGGTTCCAACAGTCGGCAAAGCTATTTTTGAGCAAGGGGAGGGGGGTGAAGTAACAAATAAAAAGTCGGAGCCGGTCAAACATTTTGTTCCAGCAGAAAACACGTTTAAAACTATTTTCAGTAACAAAAATGAAAGGATTTTTTAATCGTATTTAAAGTCTATATATTATTATGTTTTAATTCGCTATTTTTGTAACATATGTGAGGCATCGTGGAGGAATCAGGCTCTCGTCAATTTTTGGGCATGTAGAGTTATTGGCATCATCTTAAAGCTTGTTCTCTAGTTTTTATTTGGATGAAAAAAATATCCATTTATCTTGAATACAAGTCGAGATATTTGCGAATGAAGGAGGTGGGGGTCACCTGTTTTCAGAGGTAAAATTCGTGAGAAAATGGCCGCCAAAGATTAGTTATTTCCTTAGCTTACGAGTCCGTGGCAACTGAAAATTTACATTTATTGTACCTTTAATCAACGTTTCTCAGAAAAAAATCCTCACAGAAATGAGTTCTTTAATGGGCATGAAAGTTGTTGAACCGAAAAACAAACATTTGATAAAAATTCACAAACCTGCAAAAAAATGCAAGTTTCTTCATTTTGATTATTTGACGCGAGCCTGATTCCACCACATATTGTACTTCACCAAAGGTTAACAAAATGCTAGAAAGTGAACTTTTCTCCAAACTTTGTTTTTACACCCTGTGTTACAAAATATAGCACATCTTTACTACAACTCAATATATTTGAAAAGAAACAACGCAAAAATTAACTCATCATGTTCAGCATTGAATTTGCTGCAAGAATTATATGTCCTTTTTACAATATCCAAAATTTCCGACAACTGGGACCTTTCTCCAGGCAGACACATAAAAACAAAATTACATGTATATAGATCTATATATATTTTTTAAATTCTTTTTAAAAATTTCTCTTGTGTAATATAGCCAGCATTTGTGATGCTGCAAAGCTATTTTTGAGCAGGGGG